CTTCCTTCTCTCTCTCTCTCTCTCTCGAGAGAGAGAGAGAGAGAGAGAAATAAAGAAAGAAATCGCATCGTAATTGAAAATGGATGCGATAGGAAATAATAAAAAAAAAAAAAATCGAAGGAAGAAAGCGATCATATCTCGTATTGGAGGTGAAGGTTGGAAAGCGAACGAGGTCATGGTTCGCCGCGCATCGTTCACGAAGCAATTATGTTCGCACGATGACACGTAATAGTTGTCGTACACATGCGGATAGAAGAGAAGGATTGGCAACGAACTGAACCCGGTTACGTACGTGAGAATATCGATTATCGATGTTATCGCGGTTGGAAAATCTTCCGTTTGCATCTGTGTTACATGCGCGAATACCATACCATTTGTGCCCGGTAGAATTTTGCTTTTGCAAACCGGGATATTGGGCAATTGCAATCGAATAACAAACAAACATTTTTCTTGTATTTTTTTATAAGCGATAATCACTCGAAAATGAAAACATTCTTACTATCGTATAAATGGTATATACATGCAGGAATATACAGATTAAGTTTTATTAAATATTTTTCTTTTTGTACACGTAATAATAAGGATTACACAACAATCGTTTAACTCTTTCTTAAGAGAAGAACTTCGCTTCTCTTCGTTCAGTCCGGGTTAATTTGACGTGGAGAATTGAAAAGAACTTTTTTTTCTTTTTATCTTAGATATTTGATTCCCGTGCCATAAAATTCGAAGTTTTTTCTTCGAAGGTACGACGTTCATTATCGTAAACAACTGCTCAGACCAGTTTCTAGGTAAGCTAGGTATCTTCTATATATATATATTCGGCGAATAAGAATGTTTCCAATTTATCCGTCATTTTTGGTATTCCACGAATTTTACAATGAAATTTCCATAATTTATCACGAAATACGCGTTACGCAACTCATTGCCGGACGAAACTTTTATCATCCTCGACGCGCAACGAGAGAAAGAGAGAGAAAAATCTGTATCGATTTGCATTTTTATTTTACGTATTTTACGTAATTTGACGAAATTGTCAAATTGTGTCGCACGATTTTCTTACTTATTAGGCTGTCGGGCAATCGAAAAAATTTTCGAAAATGATCATAACCTCACCACAGTTAACCTCACCACGTTGCTTCGAGTACAATAAATGATTGTTAAACTTAACTTTCGATTGTTAAATTTTCTGCTTCCTCGTCTCGTTCCTCTCTCATTCTCGCTCGCTTCGTTGGAGGATGGAATTTAAAAAACGGGACGGGATTGAAATTTCGCAAACACGACATTCGCAACGTAACGTAACGTAACGTAACATAACGCAAGGAAGAAAACAAAAACTGAAAGGAAGCGGTGTCACGATTATATTTAAACCTCGTCCAAAAGGATCGTCCTTTTCATTTCATCGAAATTGTTAGAATTGTGCGACATTCAACGAGTATTTGTGCATGTTTTATTATTATTATTAGTAATAAAGAGAAGAGAAGAGAAGAGAGAAAAAGAAGAAGAAAAAAAAAACAACAATCGGCAATCTCTCCGTTCAAGCGACCGAGTGTCTTGTCTGTGTCTCTCTGCTACTCACTTCTTCGTAGTCTGAAGAGGGGGGAACGTAAGTCCGCGAGCGATCCAACCACGTTGACTAGCAAGACCAATGCCAACATCCTGATATCCATTTTAATTGAACGAGAGAGGGAGGGGAGGAGGGGAGGGAGAAGAGGGAAAAAAAAAAAGAAAAGAAAAGAAAAGAAACAAAGAAAGAAGAAACGAGAAGAAACAACAAGGAAGAAACGGTTGGTATGTATAATAATCGTCGATCGCGCACCGAGGAGAAATAATTTCCGCGCAAAAATTTCCGAAATCGATCCGTGCGTGGTCGCAGCTTGCAGTGGAATGACTGAGCCAATCGGTGGTGGCCGTCATCTTATATAGCTAGGATCGCTCGCAACGCTTCCTCACCTCGGCTTTTTAATGCGCTTCGATTTTGCCGTCGAGTGTGCGAGCCGTGCGAAAAATTGCACGATCCAATGAAATTGTTGAAATTATACGGCGACGAGTAGTAACGTTTTTTTTTTTTTTTTCTTTTTCTTTTTTTTCTTTCTTTTTTATTTTTTACTTTTAATTTACTTTAAGCCCGCCTCTCGCGTGCGCGTGCGTTCGTGAGAATCGAATATGCTCGAATCGAGTGTCTAATTTCTTCGCGAGGACGAGAGAAGAGCGGAATTTTTTTCCCCACGAATATTTGACATAGGAAAGAGGATCGTGTTTATTTAATTAAAAATCTCTCTCTCTTTCTTTTTTTTTCCATCTTTGAATCTTTCGCAAATTTCTCGCAGACGACATTTTACAGCCTCGATTTTCGATCGTCAAAAATTGCTGCTTAATCGTGAATAATAATAATAATAATAATAATAATAATGAATATAATCGTTCTCGTATAATCCTGTTGTAACACGATTAATCTTGACCAAATATCTTTATACTCTCTTCCATCTTTTCCGTGATGTAAATACAAAAATTTTGATAATTTAATAATTGAAGATTTTGTGGCTCGTATGGAAAATATTTGGAATATCATAAATAATAACAATAATAATCTTGTTGTACACGAATATTTGATCAAATATTTTTTTTATTCTCTTCCTTTATTTTCTGATGATATAAATAAAAAATTTTGGAATAATTGAATATTGAAAATGTCTGATTCTGATTTGCAAAATATCCAAATTTAGAATATCATAAATAATAACAATCTTGTTGTTATTCTCTTCCTTTCTTTCTCTAATATATATATATATATTCCGTTTGCAGAACATTAAAAATTACAATTTTATCATCAATATGAGATTTACTCATAAATAATAACAACAACAACAACAATAATAATCGAATAACAATCGTTCCTGCATCCTGTTGTAACCGCTGAATAACATTTGAATATTTGAATACGTAATTAATGATATAATTGAAAGAAGAAAAATATTCGAATTAATTGGAATATCGAAAAATATCGTTTCGCATCCACGATCGCATCGTGAATTCGTGAAAAACTGCGACTTACTCATAATAATAATAATAATAATAATAATAATAATAATAATAATCGAATAATAATCGTCCTTACATCCTGTTGTTACACGATCTAACAATTGATCGGAGATAATCGAGGAATTTTTTACGTCTTCTTTTTTTCTTTCTTCTCCTTCCCAAGCAAGCGCAACAAAATATCAAGAGATCGATTGTAAATCCACACAATAATCGATAATCCCGCGATTGATTATTGATTGATTATTGGGTAGCATGTAACAAATTGCTACCTTGCTCCTCAGCATTCGTAGAATCGATCGTTTTTAAACGAAAGTTATCTCCTCCTCCCCCCCCCCCCCTCCTTCACACACAATAACAAACATATACGCGATAACGACGTATCGAAAATTACTGGTTTACGCGATTCCGCGAAAGGATCTTCGATTTTCGCTCGATCAGCTCGAGAAGGACGTAACAGCGAATCGATGAAATCCGATAAGCGACGACATCTTCTCGAGAAAATATCTCGAAAATATCACGTAAATTGAATGAAACATTTTGATGCGCTTTAATTTTTGTTTGAAAATGAGAAATTTCTATCGCGAGCACTTTTTTCTCATTCGTGAAAAAAATAGAGAATGCATCTCTATTATACACGTTATTACGCAATATTTGTATCACGATAAAATTGCCACGAGACGTGAATAACACGTTAACAACTCGATCGATTCAATTTTTCGTCCGAATATCGAAGAGGATTATCTCAGGATAAGTATGTGTTGCATACTCTTCGTTATAGGCAAACGGGATAAACAATTCGCGATAAATTCTTTATCGCGTTTCGTTTGGTTGAGAAGAAAGATTTCTTAATTGTGTAACGGGTCGAATACACAGTGTGTGTGACGGGGAATACCCAAAAGTTGATTACCTTGCTTCTTCGTATTAATCTTTCAGACGCTTCGCTTTTCGGGCTCGTTCCCTTTTACAGAGTCGTTGCTCGAAGGCAAAGTACTCGTTCGAGTTCAATGTCAAGCCGCTGTGTAAACTTGCCGCTGGCCCAACACGATGAATCACTGAGAATCGACGACGACTCGTTGCGCGTAGGCTTCGTCGTTTCGCACCGTTTAGACCGATAACGCGTTAACTTCCTTTCCTTTCTCAAAGAGTTGCTCGCAGTCCGATGGACGCGAGCGGTACAATTCAACAGTTATCTACGACAAGTCGCTTGGATTATTTATTTAAACGAGTTTAAAGAATAAACGTTAATCTTTATTTCTCTGTTCGAAATTTTTAAGTTTTAGTTAATTTTCAATGCTCCTCCGCTATGTTGAATGTTTGCCAAACTTTTGACGCGAAAAGGCAAGTAAAATAACGTTTCGAAGAACTTTTGCTTGAGCGTTCGAAAAATTCAACCTTTGGTTACTGAAAACGATCGACGATTCGGCCCCTGGCCGCGAGCAAACCATCTTACGCGAACGAATGTAGGGCAACTCGAGCGGCAGGGGCACAGTGATTCTCAAACGAGCATTTTCCACTTCGCTCGAAGTAAGTTGATTCGATTCGCGCTTCGATATGTTATTTTGTAAATCAAATAAAATTCTTCCATCGAATATTACACGCGTTCGAAATATTGAAATTATTGAATTATTGAAAATAATTGATAAAAATCTTGTGACGCGCTTAATAATTCTACGAAAATGCAATAACAAATCTTCTTCGATCGAATCGAGATGTTCATTGAAAGAGGGAGCAATGTGAATCATTCACGTGTAATAATTGATTAGAATCCGAGGAAAATATTCATTTTCATCATTTCATTATTACGTGACGTAATATCGATTGTCTCGTATGATTTACCGTATATTTTCCTACGAATGAACGTTATAATATATGCCATTCAATACTTGGTTAATATTCAATGATTCACTCGCATTAATTATACTGATAATATATACCGTAGAAACACGTGTTTGAAATATTTTAAACTTGTATACAAAACGGTAAAAAAAAGAAAAAATGGAGATATCGTTTGTTGAAAACTTAATTTGAAATCAATCAATCATTGGAGAAAAATGTTAAAGGAATTATTAATAGGAAAGACCAGAAATCAAGACAATTAGAAAATTCTCAAGTATCGTTATTCGTAATGCGACAATACGAAACGAAAAAAGATACACTGGTATGATTAATTTCGATCACATTGTATAAATAAATGCGAGAAATTTAAATACCTCCAGCCACGAAATAATTTTATACGAAATTGATTGTTCCTCGATAATCCCATTTCTTTCTGTACGAGTCACCGCGTGATCGTAACTCTATTCGTCGAAGAGTATTACGTGGATGGACGCGAGACGAATGCCAATAAGGATTTTAAGGTCGTTCATACTTATTGAAAAAGGGTGGAGAACGGTCGTGCTCGAGCCAGAACGGTCTCAGAGATGGCCGGGAGCATCTTTCACCGTTGTGTTATTGTGCCATTGTGTTTCGTTGTGTTGGTGGTCGCGTGGGCAGGTAAAATTCATTTGCTTGGACTAACCTAATTTATATACGATGTTATTTATTTATTTATTTATTTTTTTTTTTTTACAACTTTCCTTCCTGTCATACGATCTGACATCCGTTACGACTGATACGAATAATCGTTATTATGAATTATGATCGATGTGTGGTGATGATATTAACTTGATTCCAATTGAAATAGAAATCTGCGTAATAATAAGTGTGAAGCAACCGGAGTCGTAATATAATAAGATACGTGTCACGTAAAGCTTCGTTTCACAGATGATCGAGTTCTTCTCACGGAGGAAGACGAGCGACGATGGAACACACCACCCGAGCTGATACCGGAGCAAGCGATCAAGAAGTCTGATGCGAAAGCGCGATCGTTGTCCGTTTCAAACACTGGGAACAATGCGCACTCTTTCGGCTTTCAAGTAGGACCAGAGGGCGTTAGTTACTCTCAAAGCAACAGTTTCGGTCGTCCATTGTCTCAAGCGAGTGGGTACGTTTTCGTTCCGAATCGAGAGGAATAAAATTTTCTCTATTAACAACAAACATTAGGTTAGGTTGGTTAATTAAATTCATCAAGTACGAATTTTCATTCGCTGTGTAATTTTCAAATATAAAATAATACGAATGAGTGAAATTTTTCCATTTTTTTTTGAACTGAATTGTGTATTTGCTTCTTTAGAGCCATTTCGCAAAGCCAGTCGGTGTCGTTCGCAGCAGGATTAACAGGGATCGCTGGTGCTCTATCTGTCAGTCAATATTATCCCGTATATGGGAATCAAGGGAACGTGGTTAGTTTCGGCAGTGGAACTTCTTCTTCGTCGGCCGCATCCTCTGCAGGTTCCACGCATTCCTCTTCCTCCTCCTCTTCCTCCTCTTCGCCGCATGTAGTCACGATTGGACCCGCCAAAGGAATGCCTGTTAGATTTCCTGGACAGAGTCAGCATCGACCAATATGGACTAATATTCGTCCTAACATTAATAATAATGGTAATTTATCTAATCGATTAAATTGGTTTTTTTCTATCTGAGAAATTTAAAGTTTTTTTTAAGGGAAAAAAGTCTTTCTTTCTTTCTTTTTTTTTTGCGATGTCATCAAAAATTAATTTCTTTTTTTTTTGTTAGGTCCTACACGTATCCCGAAATTACAAATTGATGTAAAACCATATCAACCCGAGCAAAACGAAAATCGTTTCAATCCGATCGAGTTAGACATTTCGACGCATGAAACGAGATTGAATAATAACAAACCTACAATTCAGGTACATAAATGGCGGCCTACTAATGATGATGAAATATTTAAAAATCGATAAATGTAAGTGGATATAATTATAGAAATTTTTTTAGTTGATTGTTAAATTGATTGTTTTATTAACGATATAAATAAATATTCCATATCTCGAAGATAGATTTTGTTACGTTTGATTTGTTAATTTAACAATATATTTTCGAATAAATAAAAGTTCAAGGAATAAATTTAAAATTCATATGGTAAAATAAAGTAATAATATATATAATGCGATATTATAAATTTTCAAAAGCATGTATAAATGTTGTATAAACGTTGAATTGAAAACGATTCATGAATAAAATAATTTGTTATTTCTTTTTGTTCCGTTATTGATTTATTTTTCTTCAATTTCCTAGAATTATTAGATACGTGCAACGGATAAATTACCAATTAGTAATATAGTTGGTAAATAAAAATGAATAAAGCGGATTCTACGGTCGGATTAATTATCGATAAAAGTTAATTCTATTATCATTTATACATTACATTCGAAAATTTAATTCCGTATTAATGATAAGTAGGTGAAGGAGAACGGAGGATCGAAGGTCAAATTGTAATCTTGAACTTTCTTGTGGCACTTGTGGAATTGCTGATAGTTATCGCTATCTTTAAGATGCAGTGTGTGATGATAAATAACTCTGGTGATATTATCGAACCATGGTAGAATAGGAAATTTATTGCGCCGGTTGTAATATTCACAAATGATAAATTATATATTTCTGAAACGATTCGTTTATTTTTTAAATAGTAAAAGTGATTAATTTTTAGTAATATTTAATTAAATTTTTCAAATTTTAACACTGGATATCATTAAATTTATTACATGTTTTCATACTTAGTAAGTTTTGATAAGAAAAAGTAGAATATAAAGCACTTATTTTTTTGCCAGTTGATTTCAGAAAATCAATACACGATAAATAGTCTAAAACTATAAAATTTGTAAAATGTAAATTTAATAATATGAAAAGTAAATTTGTGATACGTAGTCATCTCCTCATGATAAGATCTGATAATTTATATCGTTTTTCTAAATTTATATTTATAAAAACTTTCTTTATTTTTAAAAATTTTACAAAGATTGTTATATTATTCTTTAGAAAAGCGATACCAAGCTAAGAATTACGTATTATGTATTTGCATTCAACGACGTAGCCAGGATTTCTTTTAAAAAATATGCTAGATTAAAATTAATTTTAAATTAATTAATATGTATAAGAAGATAAATTTTTAATGTGAATTTAAAATTTATTTTAATCTAGCATTTTTTCCCTGTTTCGCTTGGTTATGTCCATGAATATAAATACGAATATAAAATATTTTCAGTAAATAAATCGCGGCGATATACGAACGTATGACAAAGAGAGCAAATATTGGAAGAAGGATAGAGATAGTAAAAATATTGAAATCAGCGCCATCTTCAGAGTGCCGCAAATGAAACTCACTACACAAGGACAGAAAATAGTTAGAAAAAGATAGAAATAGGATAAGATCTGACCTTTAACTCCATCTATCGAGCACCAAAGACATCTTCCAAAAATAGGATAAAGTAGATAAAGAATTTACGATCAGCACCATCTGTTGAATATCTTTGGAAACACGAACCTTTAAAGAAATATCTTTGGTAATCGAGAGATGTCGCTATAGATCAATTCTCATTCTATTTCTATCCTTTTCTCATTATCTCCTGTCCTTTCTTTGTGAGTTTCATTTGCGGCACTCTGGAGATGGCGCTGAATACATAATTTTTAATCTATCTCCATCCTTTTCTATCTTCCTATATTTCCTATATTAACTTTATCGTATTGTTAGCCAATTTATCAATTAAAAATCTTAATAGAATCTGATTTTTATACATCATAAGTATTATTAAAAAAATATTTTCAATATTCTCATCTTATATTATTCATATTTCAATTTTTTATATCAAGTTTTTTTCTTATATTTTTCTTATTTATATCTAAATTAATTTTAATAATTTATTTTATCCTTTTTTGTAATCTTTACAAAAAATCTTGATCAATCTTAATAAGATCTGGTAATTGCCATTGCTTTCTAAAATTTTTTTCTTCAAAATATTTTTCATTAAAAAAAAAAAAAAAAAGAAAATACATAAGAAATACTTTATTAGAAAAAATTAATAACATAAAATTTCGTTATTGATTTTCTTTGAAAAATGATACTAAGCTAAAAACTGCAATCCAATCTAACATTGCGTAATTTTTCTTCCTTATTTTTGTTATTAAATGGATTGCAGGCTTCAAACAAATTCTATACAAACGTTTTACTTTTCCTAAATCAAATTTTCTTATAGAAGACACTAACTCTTTGGCAACGTGTCAATAATTTTATATCAGATAAGAATACCCTTAATATAGATTTTATTTTTTAAGATTAAGATGCCTGCTTTTAAAATATTATTATAAGATAACTAGTAAGTAAACGCATTTCGTTCAAAATGATAAATTCTCTAACTTAAAGCGAAAAATAAATTTCATCTTTTATATTTTTTTCTCATTTTTATTTATCGTCCGTTTTTCTAAACCAAAAACCCTCCAAATCTTGATTTCGAGCCGCGATATCAATCACATATCGTGCTATGTAGCAACAGTCATTGGATCAGCACTTCCGACTGCTACTCAGTCGAGAGTCCTGTGTTTTGATCGATCGAGTACCTTCGTGTACTCGACCAACTTAGATCTTGCAATCGATCGTTGTCCTCGAAATACGTTCTAGCATTTTTCACTACTTTCAGTCCACTTCATTTTTTTTTTTTCCACTTTTTTTCTGTCTCCTTTGCGAAGATCTCTATACTCCTTTTCTCTATCGTCGAAACAAATACATTTTTTTTTGCCAAATCGTTGTCGGAACTTTTGATTAATCATATTGATGAGTATCAATCTGACAATTATCTAACTATATTAAATTTACTGATGTAAGTCTAGTGATGTAAGATAGTGATTCATGAGAGGTTCGTTTTTCGAAGTTTTTCATTTTTTTTTTTTCCAATTGTGTAATTATCATTTTCTATTTTATCTCACTTCGCTTTAAACATGGTCAGCATATATCTTGATGCTATTACGTTTGTATTGATTTTAGATTTTAAATTAGTATTAGAGTTTAAATTAAATTAGTTTTAAATAGTATTAAATAAATTAGTTTAAGATCTGATTTGATTGGACAAGTTGAGGCTTAGTTTTAACATTAGATTTAATCCTATACGTGTGAAATACGTTCTTGAAATTGAGAATAATTACGATTGATTGAATAAAAATTCAAATTTTTTTTTTATTCTAGTAAATATTTATTCTCAATCTTTCTTTCTATGTTTCAACATTTTTTCATTTTTAATTTATAATGTTAATAATATGTTTAATAATTTATTTTTATTGTTTTTTCTATTGATCGTATACGCATCTCGTGAAGAGTTCTGATAATTGATTCATCATTTTGTAAAAAAAAATCGGCTAGATTTACTAAATTTAATTTATTAAATTGAAAATATATATAAATATTCGTTTTCAAAGAAAATTAAATTAAATAAAGAACGCTCACAACAAATCGTGTTTTTAAAAAAATTTTTTATTCAAAAAATTTTTTTTTACACAAATTCTTAATAACTAGAAAAATAATTAAAAACTTTTATACATTAACGCTCTCACGTTTCGATGTAGATATACGTCGGATTATACGGATTTAGAAATTTGCAAATTTGAGATTGAAATATTAAAATTATTTACGATGAAGAATTATTCTCTCTCTCGTTTTTCAATCTTACGTTGAAAAAAGTGTGTTGTGCGTCGCTTATCGAATAATTTTCGTTCAATTTATCTAATTTTGCATAGAATATAACATCGCTTATAAGTTTTTCCGCTATTATTCTCTGCCTCTCGTTCAACTCTCGAAGATCATAAGCAATCTTTTTCCCTGTAATATCAAGCCAATCCTCTTGGATACGCGAATTAGACGTTTTGTCATTTAAGCTTGTATTCGTCATCTCGGCCAGTTGATAGTTTTTTCCCCCGCTTTTTCTTTTTCGCTTCAATACTTTTTTCGTAACCGAAGATGTTGATGATAAAGAAGAACTTGGCCTGCTCGACACTTCCGAACATGGCGATAAATTATTTCCTCTTGTATCGATGTCGTCTTGTCTCTAAAATATATGTAAAATATATGTGTGTGTGTGTGTGTGTGTGTGTATATATATTTATTTTTTAAAAGCTAATATTGACGATGCCAATATTGAGAAGCTAGATTGAATATTGAAAGGAACAACAAAAGAGATCTTTCAGAGGTGGGAATTAGACTCCCACGCATGTTGAGTGAAAACATTGACTAATTAATTCTGTGCATATATATATATAAAATAATTGAACAAATGATAATTAATTTTTCTATTTTTTTTTTTTAAAGATATCTCTGTTATCCACGATTAACTTACTCCATTATCGTCACGATCAATTTCCAAATCCACATCAGCATCGTTAAAATTTTCGCCCTTCTTCGCATCATCGCAGTTTGTTATAAAACTTAAATTATCGAAATACCAGAGACTCGGTACGTATACGTTTTTCCCCGACGCTTTCGCCCGTTTAACTTTATTCAACTCTCGTCTGAAACTGCATCGCAAGTTGTGAATTTTTTTATTAACGAAATCTTTATTCGACATAGAATTTATCTCTTTGCATTTGTCGATTAAAACGTCCATCGCGTGGTTTCTTAGATTTCTGTCCATGTACGACTTCGATCTTATATCCCACAAACACGGGAAACTCTTGTACAATGCGATGAACTCTTCCCAAAATTTACGATCTCCTATCGAACACATATTTCTGTTATATATTATGGAAAAGTATTCTTTCTTAATAAAAGTAATAAATCTTTCGACGAAAAAAGAGGCACAAATTTTGCTGCACACGTAGATAATACAAACTGTCTCGAGGCAAGTTGCTCGGGTAAGTGTCGTCTCTCGTACGTAGCTTACAACGATTGCCTCAGCGATACGTCATGCAACCTGATATGTATGTATCAGAAACTAGTGCCTCGCTACACGCGGCGAGGCAAGTATCACCGTGTGTAGGAAACTCGGATACACCGAGGCACAACGGGAATAATGTGGCAACACTGCTCTTGCAAACGGTAGAGTCCGATTGTTGAAACTAGGAGTCTTGGGATAGACTCTGCTGTTCAATTTTGATTCTCATTTTTTTTCTGGAGGAATTAATAATAAAAAATATACATGATATTCTTTAATATGTATATATAAGCAATATGTAAATATTTTATACTTGCAGTAAGTAGAAATAATGTACCAATATTTTGGTTAATGTTATTCATGTTCTTTTTATTTTACGTGTTAATGTTTGACGAATACGATTGTAAAATAAATTTAAATTATTTTTAAATGAAATTACAGTTTTTAAGCATGGACAAAGAAACTTACAAAAATTGGTAAAAGTATAAAGAAAAGAAGATCGTTAATACCAATAAGCGAAAGAGGTTAAGTGGAGGTAATTAATTGGAAATGAGCGTAAAAGATAACTCACGAGAAAAGTTGCTTAGGGGAAGATCAATTAGATTAGGAGATAATATTATATTATTAGCATTAATGCGTATATAGTAATATATAAACTTTTTATATTAAGATTTTATACGATAGAAATGCCAAGACGTTGCTGTATTCCTGGCTGTAAGGGAATTATGACAGCACTTTGAAATCAAATAATTATGCTTCTGTTTTTCTCTTTCCAAAGAATGAAGAATTGAAAAAAAAATGGTTAGCTGCTATTCCTAGAAAAAATTGGTCCCCTACAAAATATTCTGCAGTTTGTAGTTTTCATTTTGCTGAAAATGATATTCAAAGATATGAGAAAATTGTATGTACTAATAATACAATTGAAAATGTTTTATTGTGTCGTCCAAAGCTTGTAGAGAATGCAGTACCTTCTATTTTTCCTAATGTATCATCTTATTCAAGACACGAAACTAAAAAAACCTTTTATTCAAGACTGAAACGTAGAAAAAATTTCAAAGAACATAATTATTCCAAGCAACAAATTATTCCAAATGATGAATGTTTAGTCCAAGAATGTAAAGACTTAGATTTAATCACAGATTTTTCAGATTTAGTGAATAAGTATAAAGAAAAACTTATAATTTCAGATTGTTGGAATATCAAATTAATAAAATCTAAAATTTATTTTTATAAACTTGATTATGAAAATGATATTTTAGTACTTAATACTCAAATTGTTATTAATGACCAAATGAAATTATATGTTTTTCATAAAGGTAATAAAATTTCTTCTCATGAATTAAAATGGGTATTACCTGGTGATATGAAATTATCCAGGTGGTACCAACTTCAAAATTTATTGACATGGTATAAATGTACACCTGATGTACCTGATAGTGATGAAATAATTCTTATTGAATAATACTTTAAGAAATTTTTAGACACATGCAATATTATATATATATATATATATGTACATATATATATATATATATATATATATATATATATAT